TTGTTTAACTCATTAAACATGGCAAGACTCCATTTTTACCCATTAAAACTCATGATTAAAGTTGATGAACTTACCCAAGGCTCTCAAAACATAACAAGGAAGGCTCTTGGAGCTCACTATGCAGCTCCCAAAGGGCTGACTACCAAGTGCACGAAAATGACAACAAAGAAGGGTACTTTCGTCACAAAGATGGCTCCTTGAAGCCACACAAGCTAAGAACAAAGGCTTCTCAATACTCAAACCAACAAGTCAGCCTTCAAGCACACCAAGACAGAAGCTAGAACTCAGAAATGGTGGCTCTTTTCCACACACAAAGCAAGCTCACACAAGGTCAATGTATTTTGTGAAGAAACTATGAGCAAAGGTGCTCACTTTGGCTCTCCAAGTGGAAAAGAAGGGGTGGCAAGGTGGCTGGAGATGTTTCAGAAAAATATAGGCACGTAGGGTTGCAATTCTGACCTAGGATCATGTGCCCCTCGGTATATATAACTAGTTTAAACTTAATCACACAGTATTAGCACTAATAGCTACGCTTAGCATTTTAATCTCAAACTTTGGAATCTGATCCTACTCATTTTTCTAAGATTTATCATATTTTTATTTTATTTTTTGCAGCACCTTTCCGGTAAGCGCTTTTACATAGCCAGTATCAGTTCTGGCATCAGTTCTCATTATTTTAACTTGAAACTTATTTTACAAGTCCTATATATTATTCTAGTGATATATACACACTTTTCATAATTTTCCGGGATACTTCACCGGTACGCATTTATACCGAGTAGCAGAACCGTTATCTGCACTTTTCGTCAGAAAAGCGACTTTCAGCATTATAAAACACTTACCATAATTAATTAAGCATTCTCATAATTATTAGGGTCAATTATGGAATTATTTCCTAATTTCTCACAATTAATTAATTAACTTCCTTAATTAACGGTGCGGGTTCTTACACATGGCATACCGAAAGGGAGCGTTAGGAGGCGAAGTGGGAGGTGGAGACGGAGCAACTTGGGAAATGGCAAACCCGGCAGCTGAACTGCCTTCTGCGAGGTCAAGTCGTCTTTTCTTTTGAGTCTCACCAGCAGGGTCGGCTTCAACTGACTTTCCTCTAGATGAGCTCCTTTTCTTCAGAATGAGCTTACGATAGTCTGAGCCCATCATATAAACTGCAAAAAGAGCAATTGATCAGAAGGCAATTAAAAAAATAGAATAAACCCGGTAAAGCCGGGATAACATACCAAATTCCTTCAAGAAGTCGTCTCCGGACTTATCTACCACCCAACTTAAATAAAAAATGTCATATTCCTTAACATGAGCCATGAGAACAGTGAAACCCATCTATTTAGCATCAGGGAGCGAATCTCACGGGTTGAATAGTCCCTTGACTGCTTGAGGTAATGGTTCTGACTCCAATAAAACTCAAACCGAGCTGAAAAATTCTCATCTTCAAGAATTTTGATGGCAAACCAAGGATGACAACCGGAATGGACTGCCACCTTCAAGTAGTGATCCTTAAAGCCCTTAAAGGACTGAGTAAAAACTCGAAAGATTCCACGATCGTGCGCGCTGCGAAGGGTGACCCAACATTTCCGTTCCTTGGCCTTAGATCCAGACCAAGATGTATAGACATTGAACAAAAAGAAATATAGTGGGACTGTGCACGGAAGGTTGAGATACATGCACACCTGCTCGAATGAAGGCCCATGAGTTTGGATGAAGCTGGGTGGGAGCGACACGAAGCCGACGAAGCATAACTATTTGGAAGACGGTAAGAGGGAACTAGATTCCCACCTTAGTAATCAAATCTCGATAGAAGAAAAATTAGTGGGGCTCATCCTCATTTGGGCCCGCATATACCGGTGCATCACCGGCTGGAAGAAGTTTAAACCCGACAGTATTTCCTACAGGAAGCTCATCAATCTCCTCAGTCGACATTCGAGATCACTTGTTGAGAATTTCCAACAACATCCAGTCTTGGTTTTCAACCTCTTCAACCACATTCACATTTGAAGTCTTTGCCATTGACGACCTGGAACAAGAAGCTCGGAGTCAGCACAAATAAAGGATGCACCTAAGCCCCTTCGATCGAGGTCTATTTTCTGAAGGTTAAATTCAGAAGAAGACGAGGTAAATGAACTATCACTAAGTTCAATGGGTGGAATTCGATTCAGAATCGAACCCGGAGAAGGAACGTGGGAAAAATTAATAGTATTTTGTTTCATCACAAATAAGGCGGGAGTAAGAATTGGTCATGGAACCTGTGGTCGAGGTCAAGACCGAAGAAAGTCCACCTCGACCAAATGCATTACCAAGCTGAGATGATCAGTCAAAGGGGCTCAATTTTTCACTTGTTGAAGTGGTACGACCCTGTCCTCGTTTAGAAGGAGCTGATCTCCACTTACTTCCTCCACCTCGGTGACCACAAAGAAACATTGTCGTTTCTCCTTCTTAGTGTATTCCTCGCCCCAGAGCCAATAACGAGCTCCTTTGGGAAACTTTTGGATTAAGTCCCTTTTTTGCATCATCTTCATCATTATCTCCATCTCGTCCAGGACCCAAATCGGAACCTTGCTCAGGAACACTCATCTCAACCCAAAAAATCAACAGATAAGAATGAAAGAATCCCTAAGATTCTTCAACCTTAAGGTGGAATGAGAAGGGGTTCCCCAAGAAGGAAACCCCAGAAGCACCAAAAGGAACTCTCACGAGTAGTTGAAAGGATCGAGTATGAGAATATAAATTAAATCCTAAAACCCTCAACACCAAATGCCAAAAGCAGAAAAGAATTAAAGGAATTTACAAGAAGAAGGTGTTTGAAAATACCTATTTGAGAGGAAAGAGGAAGGCTTATCCGTGAAATCTCCTGAATAAACCTTCAAGTAAGGAGAGAAGAAAACCAGAGTTCAATAAATCCAAAATGACAGAAAAGAATGAAATAGGTTATTGGTTTCAAAATTGAAGATACATACAAATGCAACCCTTGGGCGCAAAAATGAAAAGCCAATGCAGAGCTGAATAATCAAGGAAAGAAAAGTAATTTCATGAGGCATAAATGCATGTCATCAGGGCTTGCGAAAAGACATGGCGGCTCACGCCCTACGACACACGAACTATGAATCATCGAGCGCCACGTGGGCATGCATAACCGTCAAGTAACTGGTAAAGGCAAAGCGTCATGTTGATGTGATGCCGCCTCAGGCTCTAGCATCGATCTGACCTCTTCCCCTCATATAAAGGACAAATCATGTAAAGACTGTAATCAAAGCCGACTTATATTAAAGCTCGGTCCCACATGATCAATGACAAAACACTGACTTAAGCTGAGATTTGACACAAGAACCTCTCAGGTGAAGGTCCAACCACGGTCGCACTTGGTATAAGGACAATCTCGGCCAAAAAACTCAGCAATATCATCAAATCTTTCGTCTAAACTCCAGAATGGCCGAGATCATCATAAGGATACTGCACCCCAGCAGTCCGAGGTCTTGAACTGCAAGGCTAGAGGGAAACTGTTATGGTCTGGATCCATATCTTAACAACTTATTTAATAAAGGATAAGGCCTATCCAAATAATATCCTAGATAGCAAATGATCAAATAATTACATTCCTATTAAGATTCTAAACCTACAGGTAACCCCTTCTATAAATAAAAGGGTTAAAGTCTCTCAAGTACACACTTCTAAACTCATTCATTATTGCTGCCAATACTATGCACACACACACACCTTGGCTATACGTCCATTATCAGTGCGCAATGATTGGTACATTGGCCTTCTTTCATAGATATCTCTTAGCGTATACCTATACAGTAAATACTCACAGTCTATCTGGACCAAATAGGGATGATAATTCGAGTTGACACAATATGATACAAATTTGACACAAATATGAATATACTCAATATGAACACAATATGAATTTAAAAAGAGTTAAAATTCTTCGAACACGACCTACTTATTTTGCAGGTTGACACGATACAAATAACACACATCCTCAATGTGTGTTGCTTATTATGTAAGTTGACATAATATGATAAATTGTCGTATTGACATAACACGACACAAATAACTTATATGAAGATTAATGCGGATAAATTTCGTGCTTGCTAACCGTAACATGACACAGATTTTTGCGTATCAACTTTTGTCAACACGAATACGACATGAATTTAAAGACGAGTTGACTAGAATATGAATATTTCGTGTCATGTTGAAAATTATCACTCATGTCCATGAGTGTCAGTGGTTGATTGATAATCCTAATTCTTCTTCTTTTTTTAATTTCCTCACTTGTTTAAGTTTATTTTATGTTTTAGATGCAATTACAAACTCTTAGGTGCAGCTTAATTAGGAGTTTTGTTATAAAAAATATTATTAATTATGTTGTGTAAACTTTTGTTTCAACAACTTATAAGATGTTCGGTAATGTATTGGTTCATCAAAACACACTATTATCGCATGTCAAATGTGATTTTATGATTAGTAATTATATTGGTAAATTTCACTTCAATGCTTGCACTACAATTTTTCCTCTAAACTTGGGTTTAGGTAAAACTTAGAAGTTTTTGTTTTTGAGATAGACATTTTTAACGTTTCACATATTTAATGAATTTTTTTGAAAAATTAATATAATATTTATAGCTTTGTGGTAATTATTCATTTGAGACTGAGTTTTAACTAATATTATTTAAATATTTATTCTGTAAAAATCACTTTTACGCACAAATATCTAAATATAAATCAGTTAATTTTTTATTTATTCTTATCTAAAATTAATTTTTTAAATCAAAATAATATAAAATCGAACTTACTAAACGATGATTAAACACACAGTAACGTTGGTAGTGGTCGTATTCAATTAAACTTTGATCAAACTTTTAATTTCCGCGAATACTTGACTTACCAAGCTAGTGATCAATGGTATTCATATCCTTCACAATTTAATTTTATTGTTTAAATTCCTTCTCTTGTTTAATTTTTATTTTTTATGTTTCAGGTGTAATTACAAATTCATAGATACAACATGATGTGCTAAATAATCGAACTAGCATAAAAGCATCTTCATTATGATTTAGTATATATAAAGAAAAATTATAAACTTAACACACAACACAAGTTCTATAGAGGAAATAGAGGTGTTTCCAATGAGCTAAATAAAAACAATAACCGACAAGCCACTTTTCTTATTTGTATTTTGTATATCTTCAATAACAAAAGCAACTTTGTGGCCTCTTGTACAACCTCTAGGTGAAGTAACTTGTCGAATCATCGACATCAAGGACCTGCAAAATTGTATAGAATTTGCAAGGGTAAATAACCAGTTACATGTTTTCTAGTTTGAAAATAATTCAAATATTACCATCAAAAGCGCAATGTTAACATAGATTTCAGGAATTAGCGCATGAGAAAAGAAATGTTGTTTGTGCCTTCATTTATGACCATTTAAGTCATTACACTGAAATTGATGACTTAGAAACATATATGGAGTTTTGGCATGCTAAGAGAGTAAGAAAGATAACTACAAAACAACGCACACACACACATACAATGCAATATATCTGTAGGTAAACAGACAAACGACATACTAGTTCTAATCTTTTTTTTTTTGGATAGCTCCACTGGTTTTCGGGGCTTCGCCCCCACTATGTCCAGTCCGATCCGGGTAGGTTACCTAGCATTGACAGGTGAGTCTTCCAGCGAGGATTTTCTGCATACACAAGGTCTCGAACTCGAGTCCTTGCTTAAGCGAATCCAAGTACCTTACCACTTGAGCGAACCCCATTGATATACTAGTTCTAATCAAAAGAGAGTAAAAGACACTCGCTTTATGGATAGTAGATATATATAGTATATTTGATTTAAACAATATAAATGCATATGCGGTAAAATCAGACTCAATTTAAAGCTTAAAAAAAATTGCTTCCTTACTTACCACAGTTGCAATCTCTTAGATTTCAATAAAGGGAATTCATCTTTTGAATCACCATGGTATACAGTCGATGAAGAAATCTGAAATAAGCATGCCTGCATCTCCTGTTGAATAATATGAGACCAAAAACTCCCCAAAATCCCGATGCAAATCCAATTCCCAAGCCCATATAGAACCATGAATATACTTCAGATTTATCATCATCATGATCTTCTCCCATGGGTTTTGTATTATGCGATTTTTCATCTTGTTGGCAGATCTGGGTAAGTGGAGGTCCACAAAGTTCATTATTACCCATATAACTAAGATTTGTGAAACCTTGAAGTTGGGTCCCTGATGAAATTTTGCCCATAAAATCGTTGAAGGACAGGTTTAAGTCACCAAGAAAAGATAAACCAGACATGGACTGTGGAATTTGTCCCGAGAGACGATTGCTTGAGAGATCAATGGACTCCAACTGTTTCAAGTTTCCAATTTCATCTGGTATCGTCCCTACTAACCGATTACGGGACAAATTCATTGATTGCAATCTAGTCAGCATGAAAATCTCTAAAGGCAATGTTTCAGACAAATTGTTGCTTGAAAGATCAATAGCATACATCAAATTCTGATATTCTAATTCATTGCCTTTTATGGGCAACATAATAACGACAACCATGTATATTGTGAAACCAGTTAATTGAACACTAATGCCGAACTTACCAATTGAAGCATGATCAGAAAGCATGGTTGTGATGTTATGGAGGCAGTTGGGTATTGGTCCTGATAATGTATTGTTTGCAAAATCCATGACCATTAGTGAATTAAGTTGGCATATCTGTGTGGGAATATTGCCATTGAATTGGTTTGAGCTCAGTCGAAGAGCTTTTGCGCTCCCTATCCAGCTTGGTATAGCTCCGGAGAAATTATTTTCACCTAAATTAAGGACCCAAAGGTTCTGGCAATCTTTTAGTGACAAAGGTACTTCTCCAAAGAACTTATTGCCATTTAAATGCAATGAAAGGAGATTAGACAAGGAGGCCATTGAGTGAGGAATCTTGCCAGTTAGGTTATTCTTCCCCAAATCAACATGATGCAACAATTTCCAGTTATTCCAACAATCTGTGAGTTCGCCAGGGCTAACGACATTAATTGACTTTCTTCTCTCATTTTGTGACACAAGAGAGGAGAAATAGGCCCAGACAAAGAGTTATTACGTAAATTCAAAACAACCACTCTAGATGATAATCGAGGCAAGCCACCTCCCAATTTATTGGAAGTCAACCAAACAAATTTTGAGTTTAGCAACACATTTGACATGTCCCCATTGATTGTGTTGTAGGAAAGAGACAAAAATTCAAGTTGAGTAGCAAAGTTCCAAAACTTGTCAAGAGGTTCAAATGAAGCACTTGAATATGTAATGGTTAGACTTTTGAGAGAACTTTGTGTAAATAGCCATGAAGGAAGTTTCCCAGTTACATATCCCAGCCAGATAGCTTTTAGTTGAAACGAAGGGACCCATTCAGGATCAAAATCAAAGACTAAGGCCGGCGAGCTCAAACAAAGGCGCTTTAAATTTGAAAGAAATAGTAAATTTTGTTCACACACCTTTCCTGTTAAGAAATTTTCATGGACTCGAAGGGCATCCAAGTTGAAGAGTTTCCCTAGACTTTCTGGAAGATTTCCGATCAAGTGATTTGAATAGAGATTCAGTACAATCAAGGATGATAGATTTCCCAAACTTGTGGGAATTGGACCAGAAAATGCATTATCAGAAAGATCAAGTTTTTGTAGTTGTTCAAGATGCCCTATCCAATCTGGAATGGGTCCATCCAGATTATTATCGGACAAAACTAAGGATTTTATTCTTCCATGATTTGGCAATATTTTAGATAGTTGGCCATGTATACTATTTTGACTAAGGTCAATATGAGAGATGTGAGAACTGAGATTGAACAACCAACTAGGCAACTCGGATATGAAATGATTGTAAGCAAGATCTAAAACTTGAAGTGAAGTAAAATTAGCATACTGAAGAGATGGATAGATGTTTTCAAGTTGACAATTCTCCAAGTGTAACTCTACAAGTGAAGGGAGTATGCTCACTGACTGAAGCCAATCAATTTCCTTGTGAAGAAGATCAACACCACCAAGATTAAGATATTGCAAGGAAGAAAGATGGGATATCCAATGGAGATTAGGAATGAGATTATCAGAATTTAATGATAAATCAAGATAAAGGAGGTTGGAGGAGTTTCCACACTGATGGGGTGGTGTACCTCTTGACAAGTTATCACATTTTTTGCTACCCATTGAATTATATTGGATAGCCTTGAAGTCATTATTGCTCAAATCCAACAAGCTCAAATATTCAAGTTCCATTAAAGATAGAATATTGAATTCACCTGTTAGGCAGTGTGACTTGTCATCCTCTTCTCCATAAACAAAGACCACAGATTGATTTGTGTGACAAGGGAGAGTGAGCTCCGTAACTCTGCCTGTGATATTGTTACACTGAACTCCTGTCCACTGACAACAGTCTTGTTTTTTTATCCATGAGGAGAGCATGCCTGAAGGATCTATGATTCCTTGTTTGAAGTGTAGGAGTGTGTTCATGTCCTTCTCGTTGCAGTAAACTTTCAAACTGCACATAACTGACTTGAACATAATTATACATAGCAACCAAAGCAAAGCAAATTTAATATTAGAGGGAGAGGAATCCATGATCATGCAAGAAGATGGGTAGAGGATGTGAAGGCATTACCATCCACTGGAAGTATTTATAATTATATTATGATTGGAGTAAGCCTGCCGTAAATGTGGACATCGATCTTGGGAAATTCAATGGTCTTCCAAGAAGTATGAAGGGGGACAACATTACGTTACGATCCTTAACTGAATAAAATGTCCACATTTATTTTTGTATAAAGATCAAAGTTTATAAAAATGGGGACTTAAAAAGTTTAGCATCTTATGTATTGGTTAAGATAGTTAATTCTTTATTGATTTGGCAGAGTGTGTGTAAAGAAATTTTACACCCATCAAAATTATATATTTTTAAAAGAGATTAATTTTCTTATTTTACCTGAGAAAACTTTCTCATGCTACACACTCAATACATAAGTGGGGACCACAAAAAAGTGAAAAGACAAAAAAATAAAGATGGGACCCACATTTTAATTGTGTGTGTAACATGAGAATTTTTTCTCATGTAAAATGAGAAAAGATTAATCCATTTTTAAAATCTTAATATAAACCTGAATGTAAAGTTATTGTAAACTAAAAAACAAAAAACAAAAAATCTCAATATTGTAACATAAATACTTCCTGATTAGATTCGATTCATAATGGTAGATTCACTGTTTTAGCATTTGTGCTTTGTATTTTATTTGTTTTACAGTTTAAATAAAATTAGCTAACTTTTGTGGACTCGTCAAAGTATTTCGTTCCCCTCAAATGAAATTTACCTCCGAAAAACTGGCCATGATTAATACTTGAGTTTGATTAAAAAAAAAAACACAAAAGAAGAGTTCTTGAAGTTGCATATGTCGTTTCCATGTACTTTATATTAGTTTTGAGTTTTATTGCTGGACTTTATATTGGGACAACTTTTCCATTTCTTGTATTAAAAAAATAAAATAAATCGGGTTATCTTCCAACCAATAAGGGAGCGTTTGGTTGAGGAGAAATTTTTTGAATACTAGAGAAATGTAATTGATAGGGAAATGGTTGGAAAGTGAGTTTGGTAGAAAAATGTAAAAAAAGTTGTTTGGTTGAGTAAAATTTTACCAGGAAAATTATGTGAAATTCCTGAAGAGTGTGTTTGGTTGAATAAAAAATATTAATGGGATAATTGGTGTAAATTACCAAAATGGGCATTTTAAATTTTGAATCTGAAAAAAAAAAAACCCTCGAGTCGTCGACTAAAATGAGTCATTCAATCTTGGGGTTAGATGTTCCTCGACTAAAATGAGTTCTGTTCTTTGTAATAGATACAACTAAGATGCCAACACAATTCTTCATAAGCTTTGTAGCCAATAAGTTGCAGGGAACCAGAGATAATTACATACGGCCAAACTTTTAAGAGTTGCAGAACCATAAAGTGTAGAGGTCAAAAGAGAGGTTTTGATGTCATCATGAACATGGTTGGTGAGAAACAATGCAGACAAAACAGCAAAAGAGAAACCAAATACAGATCTGTAGAGAACGAGAGTCGATCTTGTGGGGTAGTTGAGCAAAATACAGATCGAACTTGATAGATGAGATGAGGGGCATTTCAGTCTACAACATCACCCCAAATTTTTCACTTCCCCATTCTTCCCCAAATACTACCTCCGAAGTGGTTTTTGAAAACAGTGTTTTGACATTTACACACAACTCTTATTTGCATGAGTAAAACGCTTCCCTGGTTTTATTTCTATTAATCGTCTACCAAACATGGTTTACATGGTATCCCACTCTCACTTACCCATCCATCCTACCAGAAACCACCTACCAAACACCACCTAAGTGTTCTAAAATGCAGGGCGCGATATCTAATTAAATTAAATTGAATAATTGGAGTCTATTGTGCTCCTTGTTGACGCAGAACCAAATCTATCACACGAGAAAAGAATCAATTGATTTCTCTAATGGGACAACAATTCGTCCCTTTTAAATTTGGTTTAAATATACTTTTATCTTTATAAGTGACTTTTATTTTTAATTTGATCCATATATGTTTTCAGTGTAATCATTTTCTTTATTTTTAATTATAATATTGTTTGTTAAATTTATAACACAATAAAGTTTAAAGATAAAACTAAAAATAATATATATTTAGTTTCTACTTTCTAAATGTGGTGCTTATTTTTAAATTTGATAACTATATTTTTATTGTAATTTAAAGTTAATTTAATCATGTTATTAAAATAATTAAAATAAAAAATAGTAGGTTTCTATTTGTTTTGGGTACATTAATAAAAAATAATAATAAAAATAAAAATCAGAACGCTGTTTTCTCCTTAGACCCCTCATTGATGTGGTGATTTTGATATGTATCCATAAATTTCAAAGTCGTCTGTGGAAGACAAAGGTAATTGATTACACGGGGTAAAAATTGGAGAAAACTTTGGTAATAGAAAGCTCTTCAAGCATATTAGTTCAATCAATATAGTTGGGGACTTGGGGTATTTATTTCAATTTGCGACGTGAACTAAATTCGACGGTTTACGTTTTATTACACTCTATACTAGCGTATAGATCACGCACATTACTCTCCATCACGAGGATAAGGCCTATAAGCATGAGTTTAACTTTCTTCGTTTTTGTTAGAATTAAATTCGAAGATGACATCTATAGACTTTGTTTATTGATCATTCCACTTGCGCAAATATCCCATATATGAATGGACCAAAATGAACTCCCATATATGTCCCTAAGCTACCCTGGATCATTCCAATAAGCATGACTTGAACAAACATTTCAATTTCAATTTTGATTTTGATGCGATATTTAAGTATGGTGAGTCCCACATTAATTGGTAATGAGCTAAGTTAAAGTGTATATAAGTGAAAAAACCCATTAATCCAATGTCTTAAGATTTTGGGTTGAGATATGATGTCAGACTCATTTGCTACAATTGGGCTAGCTTAGCCCATTGGTAGTGATTTTCCGTCACAGACTCCTCTTTGGACCCGCCTGACAATGGTATCATAGCTGAGTTGAGCTCTAGTTAGCCAAGTGATTGGTTAGAGGGCATGTTGAGTACTTGGGTCTGGGTACTCGGTTGAGGTGATGTATGTTAGGAAATTATATTTTCTAATGTGTTTGTTGGCTATATATTGTATAAATAATAATATTATGCTATTTAATATATATTGGGTAAATTATAATTATCAAAAAAAAAAAAAAAGATGTTGTGGAGACAGGTATGCCTCCACCTTTATGTTAATATTTCTTTATGATTTGGTATGATGAATATTGGTTTGTTGGTGATGGTTATCACCATAAGGTCAAGAGAAATTATTATTCCAACAATTGGCATCACAGCCATCAACATATTGAATCATGATGGAATTAAGTTTTGTGATTTTTATATATGATGAATCATGAAAAGTTTTGCTTTATTGTCTTTGGCATAAAGTTTTTTTTTTCTTCGAACAGGGGTTCATCTCATGTATTTTGTATTAGCTATGTAATGTTATTTTTGTTCTCTTACGGTAATTCTTGGTTTTGGAACAAAAGTTACGGTCTTTTGAAAATTTAGGATTCAAAGTTTAATAAGGGTTTATTATTTAAACTTTTGAATATGCATAAAGATGTAATGTTTGAAAAAAAATTGGCTCTTGATCAGAACCAGTTTTACAATTGGGCTGATCATGTGATCTTCTTCTACACAAATAGCTTGGAACTGTCTTGAGTTAGAGCAGCTTGTAGTTGGAGTAGCTTTAACTCATTGGACTTCAATAGAACAAGATGTGGGTGTACCTCAAATAAGATTTGGTTCAAGCAGATTTTTTATAAGAAGATGTATACCTTGAGTTAACACATATGTATTTATAATAGTGAGATAAGCAGCTTAGGAGATAACTAGCTTGCAAACGATGAGGCGGCAAGTCTTCTAATTGGTTACTGTAGGTGGCTGAGATAAGCTTTGCCTAGTGATGAAGTTTTCTTATCTTGTGCCAAAGTAATATGGTTGTAGCAGTTAATGTTAAAGAGTTTGCTGAGATGAGTTTGGGAGATAAAGAAGAGGTAGCGGCCTTTGTTGACTCAAGGCTTTGAAAAATGGACCTTGTGTTATTATTATAATATAAATCCAGATCATCTTTATAATTGACGAGCATTTGTTGTTTGAATTGAGAATTTGAATAAACAATAAATTCTCTTAGAAAATTTTGAACTTATAGTTTAAAAGAAATAAAATATTTAATTCTTTTTAATCCGCTCTTTATTATGACGTGAAATCACAAGCTAGGCCAATAAATATTTTGGATTTGCTCTCTATTACTGGAACCGGTATGAATTTTCACCAAATAATAAAGAATTTGTTTAGAAAAAGTGTTTAAAGAGTGTATTACTAATTTTTTATTCATTTATTTTTGATTTGAAACTCATTGACTTATTTTTATGAGGAAGGTTATACTTACAATCTTTTTTTTACAACCTCTTACAATCATATCTTAATACCGTTGATTTTCGTCAATCAACAGTTATTATTTATTGTGAATTAATAATTAATTAATGAGTTTAATTTGCGAAAATCATAAACGTTGATTGGCGAAAATCAATGGTGTTAAGATATGGTTGTAAGAGGTTATAAAAAAAAAGTTGTAAGTATAACCTATCTCTATTTTTATAGCAGATTTTTTTTATATTCCATTAATTTCTTTTCTTTTCTCATTATAATAGGACTCGCTCATTTTTATGTGAGTGTGGCAGCAACAAAGAAATATTTTTCTTTTTTATAAATAATAACATAAAATTCCTGGCCTTCTTAAAAAAAAAATTAACTTTAAAACTAGAAGAGGTCGTTGGCATTATCCTGTAATTTCATCTCAAATTTGAAAAAAAAAAAGTTATATTTATTATTTCTTTTTCTTATTACTTTTTACTATCAAATCTTAATCGTTAATTTTCGCCAATCTAACGGTTATAATTTACTAGAAATTAATAATTAATTAATAAATACGATCCAATAAATTACAATCGTTAGATTGACAAAAATCAACGGTTAAAATTTAGTAGTAAGTAAAAGAGGTAGTAACTATAACCTCTCCCAAAAAATAATAATGAATCTATTCTTTAGTTTTACTCACTATCACATTTGAATTCCGATTTTTGCGTGGCCTTTTATAGAGAGAGACCAAACGTTGAGTTGCTTTTGTCCCTTTGAATCTGAATCTCTTCTTTTGATTTGCCTCTCTTTCTCCTTTCATTTGTCATCATCGTAAGTTCCTCTCTTTTAGAATTATGGATTCAATTCCTCTCATACAATGTTTTTTATTGTTCCAAATATATTTAATTCGAATTTGTGTATAAGATTTTATCGTTTGATCAAAGCATGACCCCATGTGGTAAATTCATTTCCGGTTCTGATTAATATTCGACTCTCCTTTTTTCTTGTTTGGATTGGAAAAAAAATTAGACTACTTATTTGCTCTTTGAATTGGGGTTCCGTGATGTATAAAGCTGATCATACAATCATGTTACATTCATTTCAAGATGGTGCAACCTATGAATTATTCCTTTGGGTTAGGGAATAGCCTTTTAAATTTGTTTATTTTTCTAAACTTAAGATTTAGCCTTTTCAATTTTCCCTACGTAAAATTCCATGCATTGCAAATATGGATTTTTTTTGGTTTGCCATGGTTACTTAGCTTGATATTGATATGTATAAGTTTTTGCGAGCTACAATTATACAGTTCTTAGGAAATGTGGATTTGGAATCACATCTACTAGAAAACCAGTTCACATCTCACACATACTAAACATAATTTTGTTGATAGTTTATTTTTTGTTTATAATGTTATACATTTCACGCATATCATTATCACATGTTAATAAAATTTCACATTAATTCAGAAATATTTTACTGTTGTGATTTTATCTTTTAATTTAGCCTAGACCTTGGAATTATTAGTGTCTGGCATTTGATGCCTAACTCCACTTCTTGTTATTGGAATGACAGATACACAATGGGGTTGTCTTTTGGCAAGCTTTTCTCTCGTCTTTTTAGTAAGAAAGAGATGAGAATTCTCATGGTTGGTCTTGATGCCGCTGGTAAAACCACAATACTGTATAAACTCAAGTTGGGGGAGATTGTCACCACCATTCCTACTATTGGTATATTTTCCTTTCTCAATCATACGTGATATGTAAAATGAATGAACCAAGCTTATATTGTAAAGAACTAATTCAACTCAAAAACTTAAGTTACTAGGTTAGGCTATATTAATGGTTTTATATATCTTTAACACGCGCGTCCCCTCACAAGAAAGTCTATTGGGCTTGAAAGGTTGACGATGCATCAGATCCAGCCTACCTGTACTAAGAAATTCCACACAAAAAATTGGGGGTGGCAAGAGTCGAATCCGAGACTGTGAGACTTTGATATCATATAAAAAACCAATTCAATTAATGGTTTATATATCTCTAACATATATCATTAGTAACCTTGCTCTATCTTCGGGCTTGTTATAGTATAGTGTCTGTCCAAGTAAATCCTTGGACCAATAATTTGAAGTATTGAAGATTTTTTTATTGCTGTGTTCTTGCTCTATGACAATATTATTGTCTTTTTTGGATTTAGTGTTTATTTGATCATCTATGCAGGATTTAACGTGGAGACTGTGGAGTATAAGAACATTAGCTTCACTGTGTGGGATGTTGGTGGTCAGGATAAGGTGATCAGGAGCATAAACTCACCAAATTCTCTCCCCTCTGATTTTGGTTTAATTTTCAGTGTCACTGTTCTAAACTAATTGAGTTGTGGAAACAACCCCATGAAAAAGAACTATTATCTATTATTTTAATTCTTTTTGTTATTGTTTTCAAATAATAATTCTAAAGGATGGGGTTGTTTCAGATTCGACCTTTGTGGAGACACTACTTCCAAAACACACAAGGGCTTATCTTTGTGGTAGACAGCAATGATAGAGATCGTGCTGTTGAGGCTAGAGATGAGTTACACAGGATGCTGAATGAGGTAATTAAAAGGGAGATATGGTTGTAATTGTTACTGTCCTATGAAAACTTCCCTGCTAGCTAATCTGATTTCTTTTTCATGGACAGGATGAATTAAGGGATGCTGTGTTGCTTGTTTTTGCAAACAAACAAGATCTTCCCAATGCAATGAATGCTGCTGAAATCACTGATAAGCTTGGTCTTCACTCTCTACGACAGCGCCACTGGTAAATCAAGTCCAGAAATTAACAAGTACCCTTTGGTTTCAACAAGTACCCTTTTTACTCCTCCTCAGTCCTCACCTAAGTTTAAGTATTCTAAAATATTCATACATGTTTTTCTCAGGTATATCCAAAGTACATGTGCTACTTCTGGTGAAGGTTTATACGAGGGACTAGACTGGCTTTCGAATAACATTTCAAACAAGGTTTCCTTTTTTATTTTTCCTAAAGATTCTTTTGATCTCCAGCAAGTTTTCCTGTTGCATTTACAATATTTTTTTCCCTCTAATTCATGTTTCTTATCATGTTTTTTTAAACTCTTCTTTCAGGCTTAATAGAGATATCATTGGGTGCTGATACTTTTCCCAAATGTGACGGCAACTGACTTTAGGATTGTTGGCATCATTGCTGTTGTAGTTTTATTATTATTATAGTAATTATTATTTTGTCCTCTGTAATCTAGTTTTAATTCAAATAAATATTATTCATGTATGATGTTGGGCTTCTAGAGTTATTCCCAATGTTTTTTATTTTAATTTTTAATGACATTTACTCTACATTCTATACTGATATATAACTTTTGTTTGCAGCAGCTTTATGAATAAATAGAAGAATTATGTACCAACCTATGCAACAAGCTTGCTAAGTTGTGTTCCCTTTACATTTTGTTTGCCATTTATGGGTTTGAATAAGACCTCACAGTAAATGGGTACAGTGCTGTTATTTAAGATTTTTTTCTTTCACTACCACACCCCAATTTCTCTGAGAGTAGTTATCAATTTAAAGCGCTATTCTTCATATTCAAAGAATAAAACCTACCCTTTACAGTAGCAACATTGTAGATCTCAACTTCACCACGTTCTACCTTTTCAAGAGCTTTTGCGTGATCATTAACCAGGTCATTTACATCTTCCCATCAGGTTTCTTAAAGTTTGTTCCTCAAACCACCAAGGTGGCAACAAATGCAATTAGCAAACATTCCCTTTATGCTATGCATATTAGTTTACTAACGAAATACCTTGGATGGTTTTCAAGTAGTAAGCTGCGAATGCTGATTAAAGTGAACTAAATTATTATATATATAGAACAGTTCTACACAATGGAACATTAAATGGGGTTAAGCTTCTCTAAAAATTTAACCAAAAATCATATAGAACTTATATATGGCCAATTCATTTCCAATTTTCTACAAGAGCTGATTAAAAAGAAATTCATCTACAAAGAGTTTCAGTCTTACAGGGAAAAACTTATAGGATATTTCCCGTATCAAAGTATTTTAACTAAACACGTATTCTATACCTTATGCAAGGAAAATAGTTAGATTATTATGAGTTTGAATATATAACTGCTTGGGCTGGCTGCCTCTACGGGTTCTCCAGGCTATAATCTGGTTTTACCCGAGTACTTTAGCACTTTTCTTGATAGTGAATTCACATATTAATGCTGATCTTGTAAGCTTTAGGAAGATCAGAGATGTTCTTACCTCTAAAAAAATGGATTTTACTTTTTATATATTTAATCCCCTTTCACTGGTTGTCGCCCGGTTCAAGAAAAAAAAAAGGGGCTGTGATTATAGGCCATAGTTGATCAAGCACGAGACAAAATTCTGAAGAGCATATCAGAATTTCTCCAATTGATTTCCCCTCGTCTCATATGATGGTGAAACAGAGAGAGAGAGAGAGAGAGAGCAATGCATTCTTTCATTTATAAACACTAAAGCATCTTAGATGATTACATAGAGATATTACCAGTTATACAAGTGTTGGATGAAATTTACACTGGCTGAACTGCACTCCTTAGAATTTTAAGCAGTCTCTTTTCAATCAATAATCAAGCATGCCAAGTACGACATGAGCAATGTCATTGAGCCACACCATTTTTTGGTTATACTCTTTCAAATTGGAAAATGAATTCTCTAGTTGCACACACTCCATTGTGCATGCATTTGTCATTGTGGTAGCATCATTCACCAAGTCAACCATACCCTTATAATCCTTCTTGTCTGATAAACGATATGCACTCCTTAACTTGGGAAGAATAGCATCACAATCCATCTGACATTTCTGAAGGTGAGTCTTTGCTGTGGGATCAAGATTAGTTTGGACAAGCTGTTCTACAACATACTTGTTAAATCTAGCTTGTGCTGTGGCCAAAAGTATTGAGATGATGCCAAGTTTATTCATATCTGCTTTTCTGTCTCCTAAAAAACCTTCAATAGAGGTTACACAAAAGTCTGGATTTTGAGTGTGTCCGCAAATTCCGTTGATTCCCTTGTGGGAATCACTGGCAGTGTTGGAAGCAAAAGTGAAGTTAAAGAGAAAAAGCAATGTGAAAAGAAGAACAAAAGATTCACTATGGAAAGCCATTGGTTGATCTCACTTTGACAAGTAAGTTGTGTCAGTTTTGCAACTATTTACTTTATAAATAATAATTGATATAAAGAATGAGCCACAAATAAGCTTAGAATCAGGAATTCTGCTATGCATGCATATGCTGCTTAGGCATCATGGTGAACAAGTCATGTTCGTGAAGGACATGCAACCAAGGAAAGAAGGAGTGTTTTGTCAAACACTGCCAACTTTTTAATGTGCATGTTCCCATGCTCTGAATAATGTTCACAACCACTTTCAAGAAAAGTTATAATCTTAGTTCAGTTGGAAGTGTGCGGTTGTGGAATAAGAAATTTGCCTCATGTCAAATAGTTGACAAGGAACCATAAATAAGAGATTGTGACAAAACCTTTGAGGTTATTATTTAATTTTTATGATTATACATCTATAGGAAGTATTATTTTCTGATTTCATAAGTGAACAAAATATAATTTACTTTTGAAATATAATTGTTGACATGGTACCATAAATAAGGGAAATCATATATGTGATCCATCCTTTGAGGTTATTATTTAATTTTTATTATATCAATAGGTGGTAATATTTCTCTGATTTAACTAGTTAAAAAAATGTGATAACACTCGTCACTTTTATAATTATTAAAAAACTTGAATTTCATTAAAATATATGACATATTATAATGAATAAACTTTTTTTTTCCTTTTAATTACAAAGCTCTGAAAATTGATAACCTTTAAAAAAAAAATCATTTATGAAATTGGGTTGCTGTCCAGAGTCCCTTATCCAAAAAGTTTGATGAAATTGAAATTGCAGAGGGTGAGAATTGAACAAGAATGGCTTCAGTAACTTCATCTTCTTCGTTTTCCACAAGGCTTCTTCTGCATTCACCCATTGCTCTATTGAGCAGCAGCAGCAGAAGAAGTAGAAGTAGAAGAAGAAACAAGCCCAATTTTCTGAGGATGGTGACTCGTTCCTGTCTCGATGACAGTTCTGCTCTCCTCCGAGCAGCGCAATACACTGTATGAATTGATGATTCCCATTCTCTTTAACTTTCAAATTTTGTTCCTTTTGTGCATTTTTGTGAGTGTGATCATTATCTGGTTTTTCATGCCAATTCAACAGCTACAATGCTTGTTTTAGTAGGTTTTTGCAATATTTGTCAAAATCGTGTTTTTGTAATGTTTCCAACACCCCTTTTTGTTTTTTAATGTAAATTAGTTGACGAAATAGTGATTCCTTGTGTCTTGACACTGCAACTTTCAAATTTTCCTTCTTTTGATTTTTCCATGCATGTAAGGAAAAATGTTCACTCCAATTCAACAGCTATTATGCTTATTTTAAGAGTTTTTATCTTTTTGCTAACAGTGTATGTATTTGTCAAAAGCGTGTCTTTGTTACGTTTCAAATACCCCTTTCTTGATGCTTGGTAATGTCCATTTTATTGAGAGATGAATGAATTTTTGTAGATACGTGTTTTTGTTTGGTAGGTGGATACATACGTGAAAAGTGGCATGGTTGTAGGGTTAGGGTCTGGTCATGCTTCTGGTATGGCCATTCAGCATTTGGGTCGCCAGCTTCGTATTGGTAATTTGAAGGATATAGTTGGGATTCCTATGTGAGCTCTTCCTCCTTACATTTCTTCTTCTCTTCCTTTCAGTTAAAGTACCATGTTATTTGTTTTTGTCTTTTAAATTTTTTTAAATAATGCTATTTATTTGAAGTTAAACTTTTTGTTTTCTGAATGCAAGCATGGATGACTGCTGTTCTGTAAAGTCATATTACTCCCAATTTGAATGTCAAGATGTATATTCCACCAATTATGCAGGTCTGTTGCAAGTGCAAGTGAGGCAGCAAAAGCTGGGATTCCATTGGATACCTACCAAGACAGTTCTCAAGTGTGCACAAAAAATAATCATCCTCTCCATTTTCCTTTAATGTTGAGTGTTTCTTGTTTTGGAGGGCTCCTGGATGCTTGCCAGAAATTTTAGAAGTACAGGAAGCCTTGTATGCAATCCCTGCTGAAAATTTTCCAAAAAGAAAAAAGAGTCTCTCACATAATGCTTAAATTTGAGAAAACTTTTGATACAATTAAATTAAAGTAAATAAGGTAAAAAAAAAATAATAATACCAGACTATCTTGATGTGTAAAATTTAGGTGCCTCTTTGACTTTGTAGAACTGAAATCCCAGTGTAGATTCATTGGCAATTGCTCTGTTGTAGATTGATTTTGCATTTGATGATGCCGATGTTATAGAAGAAGGAACACTTGTTGCTATTATTGGGCGCCGAAAATTGCAAAGTGAGGAATCCATAGTCCAGGAGAAGGTGAGTTGTTACACCATTTTCTTCTGTGTTTATTTCTGAAGATCAATTTTCATGTTTTAATAATTGATTTTCCCCCCTTTTTCTTTTGTTTGCAGTCCATACTAAATGCTGCCAATAAACTTGTGTTCGTTATCGAAGAAAACCAGTACAAAGGTGGTCTGGAAGGTTCTATTCCAGTTTTAGTTCAGTCTGTAAGCAGCTATGCAAATTATTAGCTTATTGACTCTTTTTTGTGTATTTTTGTCTTTAATACTCAAATTTTTCCTTGTAGCTCAATTGGATGGCAGCTGCTGAAGAGATTGATGATATGTTTCTGGGTGATGCCGAGGTTCACCTGACATTAACTCTTTTTCTGAGTTTTTCCTCATGTTCATAATAATAATAAAAAATGTTAGATCTGATTGGTTTCTTTACCAACTTAAAAAGTGACAATGCCATAAAGATCTTCAAATTTGTTTCAAAAATCAAGGTATTTTGACTTGGTTTTTCTGACTTGGCATTGTTTTTAAAGATCTCCAACTTTTTCGTGTCGATCCCACGATTTAAGATCTTGCCACCCCCTTTCGATCTTAGGTAAGATCTCGATTTTGACTACCTTGGTATAGGTTACTCTTTATAAAGATTTAGGATTTAGTTATGATCCACAACAACAACAACCACCAAAGCCTTTTCCCATTAGGTGTGGTCAACCACATGAAACAAATGATGTCATTTTGTTCTTTCCATAACCCAATCTTTGGAAAGGCCATTTAATTCTAGATCCTTTTTAATGGTTTCACTTAGAGTCTGGCCATTTAATTCTAGATCCTTTTTAATGGTTTCACTTAGAGTCTTTCTTATTCCATCTCTACCTCTAATTTTTGGACTATCCTCCATTTGATCAATTCTTCTAACTGGGACTTATATTGGTCTTTTTCTCACATGTCCTAACAATATCAGGCATGATTCTACCATCTACTTTTCAATAGATGCTACTCCAACTTCCTCTCTAAAACTTTCATTCCTGATCGATCTTATCTTGTATGACCATTTATCCAACTTAGTTATGATCCACTATCAGCGTAAAACTTTTTTACACTATCATCCAATCTATTATTTGTTGCCACATCAAAAGAGTTGATTATGATAACAACTAGTTACCTGAGAGATCATACATACTCTTCTGTTAATGAGACAACACATAATAGGACGATAATGAAATAAAGTTTTACATAAACGGTGGATCAAAAGTAAAGTAAGATTCGTTACCCTGCTTTCTGGAGGATCAAAGAAGTTAATAAAATGATGCAGAGTTATTGGGACCTTCCTCTTCGGTTCACATTGTCAGTAAATACTTCCCATGCAAGAAAACATAATATTTAGTTCGCAGTCAAAAAAATTTCATTACGATACAGACATCAAGAGGAATAGTCTTGTCAGGCCTACAATTCTTAACAGGTCACTTTAATAATTCTAGAAAGTATCATAGTCCCAACAAAATTCTTCACCATAGCGAGAAAATTAACCTCTCAGAAGGACTTAGATATTGAAAAGTTTTGAACAGCAGGATTTCGAATCAGAAACTGGAAAAAAAGATGTACAAAAGTAAGAACCAGAAGGACATGAAAACCATATCCTTTTATCCAGAAAGGTGAACCAATAACAAAGCAAGGTTGCTGAACTACTAAAAGTGGAATGTAATGGAAGAGCTTTTGGTCAGAAGTTTCTTCCTTCCCATCATTTAAGGGATAGAGTTGTTTTCTTGGCTACTGTCAGGATGCTAACGCACAGTTTATTTTGGGTGGTTTATTTGTGGAATTATAGAGAGATTGGAGAGCTCCTTCGGACCAATGTACTCGTTTTTTTTTTTTCTGTATTTTTTTTTAGTTGATCTAGGAGGTTTTCTTATGCTCCTCCTTAAATTTCTCTTCAATCTCTTAATTATTTTATTAAGAAACCTGCATATTGTGATTATATTTATTGTTTCTCTTTGTAAATGAAGGTCTGGAGAAGACCATCCATTGGGCAAGCGGGTCCACTTGGAGGTGACTTCCCACTAGTCACTGGAGAAGGACATAATGTTCTTGATGTTATCTTTACATCTCCAATTGCAAGCCTTGGTAAGTTCCACAATTGTGGTGCCTGTTTCAAGTGCTAAGTCTCAGTATTTATGCCGGTCCATTCCATTGACTTATAGCATTACACAGCTGAAGTAGCAAAAAGCCTTGATAAAGTCGATGGTGTTGTGGACCACGGTGTCATATCTAAAATCCCGTTAGTTTTCTCTCTTAACCTTTATACTCTTTTTAAATAAGTGGTTGACAGTCCCACAGATTGAACTATATAAAATGGACACTATATCAAAAGATCTGATAGAGCTTTGAGTCTCTGTTGTTCTTGAAATGATTGGTAGAATGATTTTCTCTTAAATCTAACGTGGTTTAGGATTCAGGCAATATTTCTCTTCTACAATTCTTTATCTAATACCCTATCTTACTATGTTCCTCAAAATCAGTTAAGAAACTCTAGATAGAAGGTATACAACACATAAAACAACAAATGATTCACTCTCCCAAATTCATTTATCAAGAATTCAATGGAAAAGAAGTGCTTGACATTTGCTTCAAATTTGTTCCGAGTTTAAGTGCTTAGCTATATTTTCATTTTATCCTCTCTCTTTTTTTCTGTTTGTTATTTCCTCCAACTGGTTAAAAGAGATGCCAAGGGTATAAACTTTAAAAAATCTTTTATTTTAGAGTTGTAGCTTGTGCTTTAAGTGCTGCTATTTATTTAGTTCAGGGAGTAAAATGCTAGAATGTATAACAACATCTTAATCACTTTAAACGTCTGTTTTTCTAAGTTACATGGTTTTAAGAGTTTTTGCATTGATTCTATTAATAATCTTCCCAGCAATGAAAGAAGCAGAGGAAAGTGGTTTGTTTGACAAAATCAACTGATTTACTTGTGTTATTGTGTAATGCAGATGCACAGTGGTAATTGCTTCTCAGAATGGGCTAAACATTTTGGACAAATTGACAGCAGATATAGTGGGTTAGGCTTCAGTTCTTGTAGCTTTTCTTTGCATCTGAATGTAAAAGCGGTTGTCCATTTTCCCCCCTCATATTTTTTTCTCCATTTTTCTTCTCTTTGTAAAGATTAAGATTAAAGAAATGGGTATTTGTGACAGTATCAACTATCAAAGCAAGCTTAGGGTTTTATTGTGTCTCGTGATATTAGTGTGTATGTATGTATGTATGTCTATTTATGTTGGTGAGTGAAGTTTAATTAGTTTTTGTGTGTATTTGTGTGTATTCTCAATTCCCATATAGTAGGCATGCTGAGAATACACACAAAAACTATATTTAAGGTTTGTCTTACTTAGTTTTTGTGCCATCACGCCTCCTGTTGCCTTAAGTTATATCGTAGTTTTTGTGTAACTAATGCCATAAAACATCGCTGTAATGTGTGATAGCAAGAGTATTTCTACCAGTTGAACTTAAAAACTTGATTTAAGTTATTTTTTTCTTTGTCCATTCTGAGTATCACTTAAGGAAACAAAACAAAAGGAACGATAGGTAATAATTCCTTGCTTTATGGAATTTTCAACCATAGAATTTGGAAACATAGAGTGTCCAAGGAAATTTTAAGACTACGGAGGGTATTTTCTTTCAGTAGAGAAAAGGCAAAGCTGGTTACTTAATAAATACTGATTCAAATTGAAAATAATTATATATGAGGGTTAAATTGAAAGCTATTTATTTTCGAGAATAAGATTGAAAATTGATTTGGATCTATCTCATGCGAGATTATAGGCCCAACCAACGAAAGGCTCGAATGACCCAATGATTTTTGTTTCCAAAAGAAAGAAACGCGACCACTTGGTAATCTTGCAAACATTCTGACACATGACATCAATTGCTTAATTAATTGCAGCCATGTGACATTAGCTATTAAAAACTCTACTACTATCTTAATAGCGGATGGCTAGAAAACAAACACATGTTTATAACTACACCTACATGGTATAGCCTGACATTAGCACCCCGCACACTTGATTTCCCGCAGAGGCCACTCTTATCCATCAATAAGAATGAACATAGCCACATTAAGGAAACATAACCAAGACGCTCAACTGAGGCACTGAGCCTAGGTATGACCATCTTTCCATTCAGACTTGTTTACATTAGATATTTATTGACTTGCGTCGGAGTGCTTTGCATGTACCTCTCCCAATTTCTCCAATCAATACCAAGAGCTCAAACATACATCTCACAGGAGTTCCATCTTGCAACACTAGTCCCAACAAAGACCCAGATACCCAATGGATTAGACTCAACCGTGTGTAATCCAGTGCAATAACTATTGGACTGATAAAAATAAATGTTAAACATAAGGATAAAAGTATATTTTAAATTATTTTTTCATCAACTATAATCTCTAATATTTATTTTCAGAGGTAACCGTAAGAAATGCACAACAAATTTTTTTTGGAGAAACTAATTAAAAGGAATAAATAAATAAATAAAGTAAAATAAAAGAGAACACAGCCCAACATTGCAATCTTGTATGATTGCCGAGCCCAAGCCCAATGATAAGCATAAGTTTCTCTGTTTAACGAACGAAACCAAAAAAAGCTCTCTCTGCAATTTTGCATCTACAGAGAGTTGTTTGTTGAGATCTGAATCGAATCAATGGCTACACCGGACCACTTGTTCAACCTCCGCAACAACTTCTACCTTGGTGCATACCAAGCTGCAATCAACAGCAGCGACGTTAACAACCTCTCTGAAGACGACGCCGTCGAGCGAGATACTCTCGTCCACCGTTGCTACATCGCCCTCGGCCAGTTGCAGTTCGTTATCACCGAGATCCACGCCGATGCTCCCACTCCTCTCCAGGCCGTCAAGCTCCTCGCCCTCTACTTCTCCTCCCCCGATAACAAGGTTTGTTCACTCAATTTCTCTTCAATTTCTCATCTCATCATCTCATTTCATTCATTTCTCGTAGGAATCTGCGATCTCGAGCCTCAAGGAGTTGCTGGAAGATCCTGCCATCGGGAACAACACTGCCTTGAGGTTGATCGCCGGGATCGTCTTCTTGCACGAACAAGACTTCAACGAGGCACTCAAGTACACCAATGCTGGAGGAACCATGGAATTGTAATTAATTCCTATGCTATAGCTATATTATTATTATTATTATTTTATTTTTCAATTATTCTCAATCGCTCATTGTTTTTGTTTATTTTGAGAGAAAGCGATTCGATTCTATTAGTGCGTGTTTGTTTTCAGGCACGCGTTGAATGTGCAAATCTTTATTAAGATGCATAGGTCGGATTATGCTGAGAGACAGCTCAGGATCATGCAGCAGATTGATGAGGATCACACCCTCACACAACTCGCCAATGCATGGCTAGATTTGGCTGTGGTATAAATTAACAAAATTAAATCAAAATAATAAAATTAAAACAAAATTGTATATTTATTTATTTTTATTTAATTTGATGTGTGTTGTTGGTGATTGGATCAGGGTGGGTCGAAGATCCAGGAGGCGCATCTGATCTTCCAAGATTTGTCTGAGAGATATCAGTCGACCAGTTTGCTCTTGAATGGGAAGGCTGTTTGCTGCATGCACATGGGCAACTTCGATGAAGCTGAGACTCTTTTGGTCGAAGCGCTTAACAAGGCATGTTTTAAATTATCAATCCTCCTTCAAGTGCTGTTAATTCTTTTTCATTGCTTCTATTTCTGTATTCACTTCAATAGATTTGACAAAACAATTGATATTCATACCATCGTGTTTTCCCATTAATAGCAAAGCTTGTAAGTTGGAAGTAATTTGATTGAGTTCAAAATAATATCAATCATCTTCCCAATTACCAACTTTTCAATGGTTCAATATTTTTCTTAAGAATTTTTAAAATTCTTCTCATATTGAATTTCCCCACCATTAACTTTGTTGTGTAGCTGGTTCCAAATCTTTGAGCTATACTGAAGTAGCATTTGATTGGACATTTGAAAAAAAAAATGCAAGTTGTGAAGAAACTTTTGTGATTTATACAGGATGCCAGGGATCCGGAAACTCTAGCCAATCTAGTTGTATGCTGTCTTCACCTTGGCAAACCATCTTCTAAGTCATTCAGGTAAACTGTCAGGAAATCTTTATTGTTTGTTTCCCTCTCTCTCTCTCTCACTCTGAATAACCAATTAAATCGTTTGGTGAACGACTTCATTTCCCCCCTCACCTGTGATATTTTTCATTGTATGTAAATTTGAAATATCTGTAATGTCATACATAGGCTGGCTAAATCTTTGTTTCTTAAAAAAGTATTTTACTTTTTTTGAGTTGGGGCGTGCAAGAAATATTTGTAGATGGAATATGTCTTCCTAACTAGTGTCCTTACATCATTTGGTTAAGAGCCATTTATAGTTCTTAGTGTTATACAAGAGCAATTGTTAACGGATTTAACTAATTAATATGAGTTTCAAGATCATCACGATTCCAGCAATTACTTTTAAAATTCTTTAAAGTATGCCTTCAGACTCTGTTAGAGATATATAAAACCATTAATATAGCCTCACCCAACAACTTAAGCTTTTGGGTTGAAATAGTTCTTTATATGGTATCAGAACCTTGGTGTCACGAGTTCGATCCTCACCGCCCCTATTTACTAATAATTAATTATATCTTGTGGAGTTTCTTAGCACAGATTAGCTGAGCCTGATGCATTGTCCATCCTTCGAGTCCAATGGGCTTTCGTGTAAGGGGGCGTGTTAGAGATATATAAAACCATTAATATAGCCTCACCCAACAACTTAAGCTTTTAGGTTGAAATGGTTCTTTATAGACTCTAACATTAAAAGCTGTGGGATATAGTGCTAGAATTTATATAAATTCAGATCATTGGAATCTTTTGAGTTTAGACTACTATGGTCTGGTTACATGCCCTATTGAGGAGTTGAGTCCCGGAAGTAAGAGGTCCTAAGTAGGTGGGGCTCTGTATCCAGTATTCCAGTTTAGTATGAGACTTATATTGAGCCAAAAATATTTCACTGATCAGTTATATTAGAAACCAAATCTCACCATGTTCTCAGTTTGGCTTGTTTCCCAACCATTGTTGATTGGTGTGTCAAATCTTAATGAAATTGTATCAATACTGAACTTGTTACATTTTTAACATATCATTCAATAGTAATAGCAATTTGTAAAGTAAAATAACATTAATTATATGAATAAGAGTACACAACTTAGTCTCAAACTCAAACGTTGCCTCATAGCTGTAGTAAATTAAGTAATAACAGATTCAAATACCATAGTCGAATTTCAATAGTAAAATGGTAAAATGACAAGTCCAAAACTCTAATATCATGTATATGTATTATAAAGAAAGGGGAGGATATAGTTACTACCTCTTTTTCTTACTACTTGTTACTACTAAATCTTAACCGTTGATTTTCGTCAATCTAACGGTTGTAATTTATTGGGTTTTACTTATTAATTAGTTATTAATTTTTAATAAATTATAACCGTTAGATTGACGAAAATCAACGGTTAAGATTTAGTAGTAAAAGGTAGTAAGAAAAAGAAATAGTAAGTATAACCTCTCCCGTAAAGAAAATGTGAATATATAATATATTATGTTGGAAATATATGTATATAAGCTTTGGTTCAGTTTGAATGGTTTAATTATTGTTCAAGACATTGAAACTAGACCATGCTGGGAAGAAGCTATTTTGAACACCCCTAGTCTAAATTCTATAGGCTTTATGCTTAGAGGAATGAACATACTTATATTTTTCTTTTACTCTGTAATTTCGTTTGTATATAGATTGCATCAACACAATCTATTAAGTGCATGCATTCTTTATGTTTGACAGCCAATCACGTATCTAATTTTACTGAATGACTTGGGAAATGTAAAGCTCTGCTTCTGTCTTTTATTGGTTGAATGTCCCAGTATACTTCCAGAATTGAACTTTTCCTTTTCTAACTTGTTCCTGTGTTCTGATGATCTTGTTTTGTATTCCTTGTGTCAATATAATGCAATGTTACACCTCTTTATATACAGTCTGCCTGGCCACGTACAAAGTTATTTTCCATGCAAACATTTTACAATTTGCTTGTATTGTAAGTCTGAAGGTAGTAATTACAAACTGGCCGAATTTTGATTGTATCAACATTTTTTCCCCCATATATTTTGCATTTCTAGAAATATTTATTGGTTTATTTCATGCAACGGAGAAATAAATTTTTTGCTTGTATTATGAGAGGATTTTCCACTAATGAATGATTTTTTATTGTTTTGCAGCCAACTGAAACTTTCTCACCCAGACCATGTACTGGTCAAACGGGTGTCAGCAGCCGAAGAAAGCTTTGATAGAGCACTACAATCATTTTCTTCTTGATTTGATGATTCAATTTCTTTTAGGAGTTGGATGGTGTGAGGTCTTCCCATGCAATTTTTATACCTTATCGTGGCTATTGTATTGGGTGTGTGACTTAGAACACAATCAGTTGATTAATGTGTCATAGGATTCAAATTTTATAAGAATGTTTGGTTTACTTGAGTCTTCATGTTGCAAAAGCTACAGCTGATATTAATTTTAAATCAAGTTCATTTACATCATATATTTTACAGGAAAAACAAGAAATACATGGGAGGTATTACGTAAAGCAAAATTATGACTGTGTGGAACTCTCACCAAAGAAAATGGGCTCATCAGATTTTGAACTACGACCTGTAATTTTCAATAATAAAAAAAAAGTAACAATTAAAATTTAGGAAGTAACAATTAGTAATTTCAATGTGTATTCACCAGTAAAATGAGCCATTACGTGCAACTTCAATATTTGTCCATGGCGTTAGTTCTTGCTAATTGTATTCGATAGCAATGGGTAGATAGGAAAAATTGTATTTATCTTATCCGAAGTCTTTACATTTCTCATATTTGTACTTGTATTCTTCAACTGAAAAGTATTTTTATGTATTTTTTTAGTATTTATTTCAAAAATATTATTTTGTGTTTGGATGTAATGTGCTTGATAAGAATTTAAGTTAATCAGTAAATTTTCAAAAAAACAGTATCAAGCTTGAATTATTTAAAATATCTTTTGAATTTGGGAAACTAAGGGAGTTAAAAATTGAGTTTGATAATTTTTTATTTCAACAAATGAATTGATAGTCAAAAGTAAAAATAAGAAAATAAAAAAAAAATATTATAGTTTTAGCATACATAAAAGAAATTATCAGAGAAGAGAATGACTGTAAACACATTTATATTATTTGAAAAGTATTTTTAAGTATAAAAATTATTTAAATATTAAAATAAATAGTACTCTTATGAATAAATTACTAAAAGTAAAAAAAAAATTACACATTAAAATAAAAAAAATTATTTTTATGAATAAAATTACTAAAAAGGATGTGTATTTTATTTTTTATTTTTTGGTAATAATGTTAGAGTAAGTTTAACTCCTTTGGTATTCTTCCAATTCTTCTTTCGAGTAACTCACTCGATTTTTCATTTAAACTTTAAAAATATTTTTATTTTACTTACTATTTAGTAAATTACTATTATTTACTAACTACCAAATCATAAGAACTTACACAAAAAGAAAGAAAGAGAGAACAGTGTTTTAAAATAGCTTTAATATTTTTACAGTGAATATAGATAAGTTATTTACATTCGCTCCCAAAACGACGTTATTTTAGGTTAAAAAATTATAATAAAAAAGACTATTATAACCCTGAAATAAATTATAATTATAAAAATACCTTAATTTTCGCCTCAAAACGACTTGTTTTGAACTCAATATAGATAAGTTATCTATAAAAAAAGTGAACCCTTTAAAATATATAGAAAATGATAAATGGGAGAACAAAATTTCAGAATAATATCGGGACAAATGAAGATTTTGACTGAACCTCTGTTCAACTGAAAGAAATAAAATTACTCAATAAGAATATTGTTGGTGAAATTAATTCGCGGGTTCAAGTTGTTCCACCAAAAGGAGACATATAAAAAAGACACATAATTTCGTTTCAGCTTCAGTCGTTTAGGTACAAACTGTTATAGGTTGTAAAATTACACAAGCATGGCTTTCAGTTTTTTGTTTCGTTTTTTTTTTTTTTTTAGCTTTTTACTTATGTATATTAATCCAAGTGAGAAATTTTTTTATGTACTTCTATACCAAAAAATTGTTTCTAAAGGCAAGCATTAATTATTTAATACTTACACTTTTTGAAAATTTATTCAGAATTTTGAAAGTTCAATGTAGAGCAGTAGGTTTCAGTGATTTGTACTTTCCAATATTCATATTAACAAAAGACTTAAATATATTTTTATGGTCATTTTTTATATCTGTTTCTCTTTAATTTGTGTTTAATTTCTTGTCTCTTATTAATTTAAACTTTTAAAGTGACCACCTTTAGTTTTGGCTGTTAACAAGGTACTGTTAAGTAATGAGTCTATTTATAAGGATCACAACTATAATTTAGCCTTAAAAATACAAGAGATGATAAAAAGTAATAATTAGTAATCTCAATGAAAAGATATAGTGGGCATTATATTATTGAATCATTATATGTTGAATACATGTAAGTATAACGAATGAACTACCAACTCCCTAAGAACCAAAAAATTCTTCAGCCCATGTATGAAAGCAATAGTAGGGGACCCTTAGAAACTTCACATTGTAGATGAAATCCCATAACCATCACGACGAGATTTCTGCCATTTCCATGCAATTTGTAAACTCTTTTCAAGGTCAGTGTAATGTGCAGTCCAATTCAGTTCATTTTTTATCTTAGTAGGGTCACTATACACCTCAGCATAATCACCAGGCCTACGAGGAAGAAAATCTACTTTGATGTCAACCCCTGTAGCCTTCTTACAAGCATCCACAAATTCCTTCACTGATCTACCTGATAAACAACCCAAAAACTGTAAAGAATCATTTCAACCCAAAAGCTTAAGATTTCAACAAAGAGGTGATAAATCTCACTTGCAGTGTTATAATTGTAACAGGTATGGCCATCTCCTTAAGCTTTTAAGTGAAAGTTACATTATTGATTTTATATTATAGTTCTTTAACACGCCTCCTCAAATAAGAGCTTATTAGGCTTTAAGGATGGATGATACAAAGGTTCACCTACTTATGTTAAGAAATTTCACAATATTTAATTATTTATTAATAGAATAGAGATAGTGATGATCGAACTCGTGATCACTTAGTTATAAACTCTGATCCCATATAAAAACCATTTCAACCAAAAAACTTAAAACATTTAGGTGAAGGCCGCGGTAATGATTTTTTATTATATTTCTTTAACAAGAACTTTTGACACAATTAAGATTAAAGCACTATTCTTGATATTCTAAGTGTAAAAACCTTACCCTTTCCAGTTCCTACATTGTAGATCCCAACTCTACCAGGTTGTGCCTTTCCAAGAGCTTTCACGTGAGCATCAACCAGGTCAGTAACATCAATATAATCTCGTATGCATGTTCCATCAGGTGTCTTATAGTCTGTTCCTCTAACCTGCATGGTGGCAAAATTTACAATGAGCATGAGTACACGTTCATTTAACATTATGGCATATTAGCAAAGTAGAAATAACATATTAGTATACCTTTAAGCCAGATGTAATACCACGTGCTGCATCAAAGCATGCACCTGAAATTCGACCATGCTCTCGAAGTTCAGGTCTTGGAGCCTCACCTAATCTGCCATCAGGGTCTGATCCAATTACATTGAAGTATCTGGATGGTTCCCCAAGAAAAGTTATCAATAAATACAAAAGGAAAATCACAATATGGGACACCTCTTGCAAGGTTAAGAACCATTAATAACTTAAGAAACAAAGAGCACACTGAATAAGACCTGAATAAGCTGTTTAAAAAACAAAGGGAAAAATCAGAAATGTAAATTTAAAATACAAACCTCAGAATCATTACTGCCATATTAGAATTTTTAGAAAAATCGAGGATGATATCTTCTGCCATCTTCTTAGCTTTTCCATATGGATTAATTGGTTTCTGAAATTGAAGAACATGAATTTAACACTACATTCCAACGTGCATTCAAGCCATTGCAAAAGAAAAACAGAGTTCTTGACCAAACTCCATAACTCAAACCACTCTTATATTTCCCACCTGTTCTGTTTCTTCTGTAATGGGCATCTTTTCAGGTTCCCCATATGTTGCACATGTACTAGAATATATTAATGTCTTCACACCATATTTAGCCATAGACTCCAATACCAACAAGGTATTTGATGTAATATTGTGATAATACCTGAAAAACAAGTTAAAAATAAATAAGAAATGCAATAGAACTGAAATAGATGAATTTTATCACCGAACCATCTCATCTAAATCCAATGTTAATATCTCACAGTAGAAACACATACATCAACATCAACGACATAGGATTCAGATGTTGTTATGCATGTGTTTGAAAATACTCTTGCATTATAATCTGTGGATCCTAGAGCATGACTTTATCTATACTAAAACCAATACCAAACTAGACAAACCTTATAATAGAGTTCATATAAAATTAAGGTGGTCAAGTTGTATCTAAAAACCCAATCTTTTGTTCATACTACTTGGGAAGATGAAGAAAATTAGAAACTGACAAAAGTTCTACTTTCCAGTTTCCACAACTTATTGAACTCGAATTAACATCCCTAAATAGAAGCTACAAGTACTTACTTGAGAGGGTCAAGCGTGCTTTCTCCCACATATGCAACAGCAGCAAAGTGGATCACAGCATCAAATTTATTCTCTGAAAATATTTTATTAACCTAATAACCAGTCAAGTAGACAATTTTCCTTGGGCATTCTCTAACATTATGCTTCAATCAAAGTTAAAACCCAGCACCAAATCATTTGTTGTAACAGAGAAATAATATAAGGATACGGATTTTGCATCTCCCAAGTCAGCATATATAAATTGAAGCCTTCCAGGTTCTGGATATAAGCCTTGAAGAACCCTGACGGCACCTAAATTTCCTCTTGACAGATTATCCTACCAGGAAGAAAATTTGATGGTGAGTACATTTGACTTATCAAAGAAGTTTTCTTTCAATATTATGAAGAGACATACCACTATGGTGACACGATGATAAGATTCCTTTAGAAGTCGTAGGGTAGCATGTGAGCCGATATAGCCTGCACCTCCTGTCACTAAAACATGAGTGATCCCTGGTTCATAGACGGAAAACTGAAAAGAGCCCCAAAAGAAAAAACACAGAATCAGCACATTGAATAAAAGGGTAAAAAACAGCTGTGCATTTACATATACAAATAACATCAAGAAAAAGAATTATAAAATTTTCACCCATCTGACAGCACCAGTGAATACCAAACTAAACATACACAGGCTCCATCATTCTATAACTGGATAAGCAGCGAAAATAGCCCATCATCTCTATCAATGATTCAACTACCATTAGAAGGTATCTTTCAGTATTAGAGTAATCAAACAGCCAAAGAAACTATACAAAATTTATATATTTGTAGAAGGCCATAAAAAGCCAACTTAACATACAAATCTATCAACGAACAGCTATTAGAATCATCGATAAAGCTTTGTCTTCAAATATATACACAGTAACCATACGCAAGTAGAAAGATAGAAACTTAGATACATTGGATGAATCATCACATTGAATTCAAATCAAATTCTGTCAATATAAAAGGCACCATTATGCAGTAAACCTGTAAAGTATAAATGGCCTAATAAATGTCTCTTCTATCATTTTACACAATCAAATAAAATTTTACAAATCAATTCTCTCACCATCAACCGCTTAAAAAGAACAATTGGACTAATAATTGTATTTACTTGTCTAACAGAATTTATGGCTATACCAATTCTAAGTCTCATTCTTATATTTATGTACATATATATCAAAACACCACATAAAATAGAAAATATAATCTATAGATATACAAACATGCACAATGAATATATACATACATGGTTGACCAGGTTAATCGTATATGTGTATTTGATGGAATCATGGAATATAGGATTACCGGACTAGGAGAATTCAAAGATGGAGATCTCTTGATCATGATAATACATAATGCCGTTAATGCTGCAGCAAGAAAAACTTTTCCAATAAAATTGCCCTTCCTTTTCGGATCCACATAATCCATACCTAAAAGACAGAAAAACATAAATAAGAAAAAATATATCTTCAAAGTTTAATTCAATTATAATGATAAATACATATTATAAGTAAACAACCAACCAAAATGAAATAAATTACAGAACTTTAACAATTCATGAACTTACAAACACCTTATGCCATATACATGCATCCACCCTATCCTATATCTCAAGTGCTAGAAAAGACAAAGCTTTTCAATTCTTATTTAAAATTTATTGAAGCTTTAAGTACCCAAGCTTCATTCCAAATAAACAGAGAGTTGATCATACCACCATTTGTTCTTGAATTTGGAAGACATATTCTTACCTCCTAATGACACAGATCGGGTTGCCCTTTGCTGACTTCTTGACCTAGCAAAATTTAGCATTTGCAAAATCAATAAGGTCTTATTCCCCAATATCAGTGATCACATCAAGCTCCACTCCCCAGGAAGGACCTTGAGTGATATGCTGCAGAGAAAACCAGACCATATAAGATTTTATTTTTTTTCTCTGGAAGGAAGACAACCCCCAAAGAAGTCCAATATGAAAAACCAGCACAACAAAAAAACAAAAACAAAAGTTTTATTGACGAGGGGTAGAAAAAAGAAGCAAGAGATGAAAAGTAAAAATAGATTCGAAAAGTTCAGAAACTGAAGACCATAAAACTTTTGCAAACAAAACAGAACCCCACCAATTCACCGATAAATTCAAAATTACAAAGTTGATAAGAGAGAAAGTATTCAGAAATACAAGATCCAGAGAACCCCAGAAGAATAAAATCATATAAGATGAAAAACCAATATTAAAGCTACAAATTACCCTCTGCAAATTTAAAAAACTAACAACATTGTAAACGACATGCATATAAATTGTCTGTCAGAGTGTGTCCCGCAGAAAATCACAAGGGAAAAAACAATCCCAAGGGGACCACTTTCCATTCCCTTTCCAAGTTCCCAAAAACAACATCAAGGAATCCAAAACAACCTATGAGAAAACAGCTTGAAAATTTCACAGAACACCCAACTGTTGTAACACAATAAATCCAGAAGACCAAAGCAATTTGAACACCCAACACATAACAGGAAAACAAGAAAAGCATCATCAGAACAACAATACTTCATTACTGACCAACAATTCAAATTCTAACAACAGAAAAAACACCACTTTTTAATTTTTTTTTTGCTCCTGCAGCATCACCAACTAATAATCAACCAAAGACCAAGCCTACAAAAAAAAAACTAAGATAATCAACTAGAAGATCAAGGACCAACCCAGAAAATTATCAGAAAAAAAATAATGAATTCAAAGCCTTTAATATAGCACAAGCAGAGAGCATCAAAGAACAAAACTGTCAGAACAAAGAGTTTTGGAAGTAATAGCAAATGAAATACAGAAAGAGAAAAAGACCAGTTTGCCCACAAGAGTATGAGATCTTATTAGATAAAAAAGAGTAGAACTTTAACCGTTTCAAGGTGTTAGAAAAACAGAAAATCTGAAAAGGAAAAGGAAGTACCAGATTCTGTTAAGAACCCAGGATGTGTTGAAAAGAGAATGAGAGAAAGAACAAACAAATAGGGAAGGTGGAACAGGTGAAGTAGAATTGTGGGGTGGGGTGGTGTTGAAATTGAGAGAGAATGAGAATGAAGAATGAAGAATGAAGAATGAAGAAGAAAAGGTTCTAATAGGCGAAGACTTCACAGAGTCCATGTTCTCAAAGCGTTACAGGCTTACACACACCACAACGGAACAAACAACATCCTCGACTTTTCCTTTTTTATTTTTTTCTTGTGATTTTCTTTTTCTTTAACCTTTTTTTTTTATTTTTTAAATAAAGATGCGTAACCTTTGATCGGAATTCATTAAAAAATTGATAATAGTTTAGGTAATGTTTTATTTGTGTAAATTGTTTTACACCTAAATTTATTATTTAATAATTTGATATTTCATGTAATTAATAAATATCTCTTATATGAATATATTCAATTTGGAAATTACGAATTTAAAAATGTAAAACTTAAAATATTTAAAATTTAAGAAATTTATATATAATTAGTTGGGACAGGATATACTTACAACCAAAAAAATTTATCACTTTTATAACCAATTTAATCACCGTTGATTTCCGTCAATCCAACGATTAATTTATTGTATTTATTAAAAATTAATAATTAATTAATAAATGCGGCCTATAATTTTTAATAAATTATAACCGTTAGATTGACGAAAATTAACGGTGATTAGATTAGTTGTAAAGGTGATTAATTTTTTTTTTTGTGGTTAATATATCCTTTCCCTAATTAGTTATCGTAATATTTTAAATTATAAAAAAGATATGCAAAATTAACTCAAAAAATTGAATTTAAATTTTAAAAATAATAATTAAGAATGACATGTGTGGTTCTTTAACGAGAAAAAAAAAAACTAAAAAAAACAAATCTTAACGATTGATTTATGTGAATCTAACGTTATAATTTATTGGATCAAATTTATTAATTAATTATTAATTTTATATAAATTATAATTATTAAATTGACAGAAATTAACAATTAAAATTTGGTATCAATTTTTTTAATTTGACACCAGTATCAAATGATTCTCTCTCGATATTTTAACTTAATATATGGAAATAAAGAGTAAATTTAAAAATAATTAACATTAAACTATAAGCAGTTATATTTTGAAAAAAATTAAAAGTGATTATTTCAAAACTATAAATAGTTCATATTCTTTATTTTATCATACAATAATAAAATGTTAATGTAATTAAAATCATTAAATGAGGTGTTAATACAATGTTGAATAATTGTGTAAAAATGCTTTATACTAGTATTCCATAAAAATACCAAGATATTCTTAGTTAAGACACTAGCTAATAAAATCTTGAGTAAATACCCTTTTTGGTCCTCAGAAAATTTCACGAGACCCGTTTTAGTCCCTAGAAAATAAAAAGGCTCATCGTTGTCCCTCAAAAATTCAAAAGGACCCATTTAGTTGAAATCGTGGTCCCTCACAAATTCAAAAAAGAGCCATATTAGTCCTCAAAAGGACTAAAATGGGTCCAATTTAAATTTTTGAGGGACCACGATGGGCTTTTTTATTTGCTAGGGACTAAAACGGGTCTCGTGAAATTTTCTGAGGACCAAAAAGAGTATTTACTCTAAAATCTTTAAAAAATAAAAGATGGAAATTTCCTTCTTTATTAGGATTGTTTTATTGAAGAAAATAGATATAAATTTTGTTATATAAAACTACCACGATAATGTTATGCGATTTAATAGGTGTATTTAAAACAAATAATGCCTTCAGCTTACCAAAAACAAAAACACAAATACAAATAATGCCTTGATTTAACAATTTATAAAAAAATCAAGTAAAGTCTATTTTGGATCCCAAAAAAAACGAATACGTTTCTACTTCTTTTCTTATAAAAAAATATTCATATCAATTATTTTTATAGATTCAATTGAGTTTTCATTGAAATTACGAGGAATCACATTCTTAAAAAATTGAAATTATAAAAAGACTAAAAATCAATTAATTTATTTTTTGTAAAGAATAAAAGTTGAGATTGAATTTTTTATTAGAGATTCAGACTTTACTCTTAAAAAAAAAAGACTGCTTAGAAAGTAACGCTTTTGAGTATCCAATTATATGCTACCATTTGTTATATGTACTTTAGGCAACTAACGCGGGACGGGGCAGTCAGAATTACAGTACGGTAGGGACCATTTTCTTTTTGTGAGACCCTTTTATTCTTTTCTTTTTATTTATTTAAATAATCCTAAACACATCAATTTTATTGAACACACACGCATAAAATTATCATTAACTATTTAATTTTACATAAATATTAAGATTAAATAAATTAAAGTTGTCAAAATTAACTCTTACCACATCTTTCTTGATACATTCTTTTAAAAGAAGCAAAGGGTACTTTTCGGGCATGGATGAAAAACTTAATTTTTGGTAAAATGTTATTCCTTTTTTATATAAGTTATTGAAAACTAGAAGTTTTGTTTCTAAATTTAAATAATATCTTATCCAAAAGGATATTCCTTGCAGTTTGACATTATTTGTTACCTATACTTAACAATTTGCATGATCTTGAAACGAATTAAAAAGAAAAAAAGAAGCGATAAATGTATGCTCTCAAAAATATCTTATGTCCATGCAGGGAATTAGCTAATCATTACGTTTGCGGCAAAATACCCTTTGAAATTTCTACCGAAAAAAGAATGTATCATATATAGATGTTGGGTTTTATTATTCTCCTTCAACATAAGATAGGTATCTTATGTTGTAGAGATAAAATGGATGGGTCCCACCATTACAAGAAAAAAAAAAGGTGAGGTGCGGAAATCGAAGTGAGAGAGTAGGAGAGAAGTAATCTTATGTAAAAGGAGAGTAATATTTTCCATAGATGTTAGGGGTGTTTGGTAGGTGGTTTGTTGTGAGATTGATAAGTAAATGAGAATGGGTATTTAATTACACCATATTTAGTAGAAGTTTAAGAGAAAAAAATGCTAGGCAACCATTTTTTCCATCCAATTAGATTTGCGTGTAAAGTGATGCAAAAGTCACTGTTTGAAAAAATTACCATGAAGGTGGTATTTGAAGATAACAAGGCAACTGAAAAAATGCGCATGATGGTCAGACGGAAATGCCCCTTACTTGGAAGATAGTGTTTTGTAGAATTATTTATGAATCTTTGTGATCGAGATTTTCTACTGAAAACCTCTCCAACAAGTTTTGACATTCTTGTCATCACTGTGTCATTTGCCAACACTGTAATTTTTACACTTATATATCCTGAAATGATAAGTACCCAAAATCATTTTAGTAGAAGTATTGTTTTAGGAGACAAAACAAAAAAGATGAAAAATACAGACTTAAAGAGATATTTTCGGATTTTCAATAATTTTTCTGTCAATCTTTTAATTTTAACCAAGCACAGACTTAGTAAATTTAAATAAATTTTTCTGGTAATATTTCAGTTTAACAAACAACTTTTTTTAAACTTTTCCACTAAATTTACTTTTTCAGTGTTTTCCCATTAATTATATTTATCTGGTTAAAATTTTTTACTCTTTTACCAAACGCTCCTTAAGGATGATATGATTTTTTCGGCTTGCATGGAAATATATATACAAAGCGATTTATTTACTGTAAAAAAAGTAAGTCTAAAAAGTTACTCTCAATCTATTTTAATAATATCCCATGGTATAACTGCAACAACTAAAGCCTCATTTTAAAAAAAAAAAATCAGACCTGGTGGTCTGGAGTCGAACCGCTACACGATAAGAATTATAGCAAATAGCCATAGATGGCCATGTTTTTTCCAATAGAAGAGACCAATAATACTACAAGAAACAACTGTTACCCTAAATCTATCCTCTTTAATCTATAATCTCGTTTTAGACAAAATCATCTCATCGAAATACTTGTTTATCATATTAAAGATCTCATCCCCTCAAATTCACCAGTCTTAACCGTATGTGATCCAGTCCAATAGTTATTGGACATGTCACCTGGAAATCTATTTTTGATTTTAGCATGACTAAAGTGTCGTTAAGACATAGCGAGACACAATGGTAGACCTGTGTGTGTAAGTGCACACATAATTTTTTTGGGGAAAATAATAAAATATATTTTGGGTCATCAACAAAAATTGTAGGATCCAATTTAATCTCTTGAAAAAAAATCAACTCGTGATCCCTTTAAATTTCAAAATAGACTCGTGTTAGTCTTTTTGAGGGATTAATGTGAATCTTTTTGAATTTCAGAAGACCATGATTTTGATTATCTGGGTCTATTTTTGAATTCTGAGGGATCACGAGTAGACTTTTTTTTTCTAAGAGATTAAATTGAGGATCCAAAATGTTCTATTGTAACAGTTTAGTTGACTCTTAATTACTTTTTTTTATATTAAGTTATTTTTTTTTTTTTCGTTTATATTCTTTTGTATTTTAATATATTTAAAAAAAAATTCTGTTATTCTTTATTCTAAGTGTGCAAACATTAAAAAAAAATTTCTAAGTCCACTATTGGCGAGACATATTTTGTCATATGACAAAAGCATCTGCGTCTAGCTGAGTTCGCAAGTGGAATTAATTTGACTATCTCAATGTGCAAATATGCGTTCTAGAAACAATATAGCTTATATTGTATATATATATATATAGTAAAATATAATAAATATAAATTAGAAACAATATAGCTAATAAATAGAGTTGGTTTAATGATAAGAACCGTAAGTTACTGTTCTCATAATTTAGGTTCAAACCGCATTAGTGATATATTTAAAATATTTTGTCCAAAATTCCACAATTTTTTTAATACCGATTGAACATGGTTCAAGACAGATTCATCGATCTTTTACCAAGCCAAATACATGACCGATTCAATAAACTGAATTGGACCGAATAAGAGTCCGATTTGCGAGTCAAAATGGCCAAATTGAACCAAATTTTATAACAGTGGTCACAGATCATTGGATAGGAAAAGTACAATTGTTTTGGGATGAAAATTCTATTATTATCATTATTATTCAAAGATGTAAATATTTTGAGTCTCTATGGTCCCTTCCTATTTTATAAATTCCTCTTCCTCGTACATTTTTCACTTCGCGAACGATTTCTGTTAAAGAATAATATAAACCATTAAAAAGGCTCTCGCCCAACAGTTTAAACTTTTGGGTTAAA